AACTACTTTGTTTCCTGCAAAAGTTTCGTCATTGAGGTCTGACTTTTATCCCTTATGGGAGGGGCAATCACCTCCAAGCCTTACTCCCGAGTCTCCCCTCTTGCCTCAGCTGCTGTCGTCTTCTAGCAGCTCTGCGCACACACGCACTGGGAAGAGGCTCCCCTTGTTCCTCTGCCTTGCTGCTGCCAGACTCCAGAGGCTCCAGAGTCAGCACACAACTCCCAGATGGTCCTGGCTCCATCTCTGCATCAGATGCAGGACCCTCGTCCAAGTCCTTGCCAGACTCCCTGACTGGTCACCGTTCTTCCCCATTGTCTGATTCCGCTGCTGTCTGCACCGGCTGCCAGTGAACGACAACAGTTGCCTTCTCTTCATTTTGCTCAACATTCTATCTGACAAAATGCCCGAAGAAACCCAGAAGGCTCAGCTATTCCCTCGGAGAATTTAAACCTGCCAGGAAATTGGATAGAGCCATAAAAGCTAAAACTTGGCCTGACAAACTGTCCATCACAGCCTATTCCCCTCCCCCGCTTTTCATCTTCTGACACTGAGAGTAAAAAGCAACATCCCACCCACAGCATTCAAATCCCAGATGCTTTTCTTTTTTTGCCTTAACGGATCGAGGATTTGACTGCATTTAATTTAAAAAGGATGGCAGGGCTGGGCTTTCTGAAGGACAAGCCAGCAGTCCAAACCCAACACCCTCAAATTTCATTTTTCACGTCTTGCCAAGATGGGAGGTGGGCAGTAAATGAAGCCTCCTGCAGAAATAAATAAAACAAGTTCTCCCCATTCCCTGGGCATGTCCATGGGGAAATGGTGAAGCTACAGGGAATGTGTTTTGCCATCTCGAAAAGATAAAGATTTCTTTTACATTCTATAGAAAGCTGGGGTTAATCAGGGGTATCAATACAACCTATTGGCTCTATTTCTTATTTCTCAGGCTTAAACTTTCCTGGATCTTATTTGTGGCTTCTGAACACGAGAACAACGTCCTACCTGTCAATGACTACTTCAGCTTCAACCACAATAACACATGGGGCAAACCAAAGATGCAAACTCAAAGTAAACTGCTCCAAACTCGATTGCAGAAAATATGACTTCAGCAACAGAGTGGTCAATGCCTGGAATGCACTACCTGACTCTGTTGTTACATCCTCAAACCCCCCAAAACTTTAACCTTAAACTCACTCCATTCCTAAGAGGTCTGTAAGGGGGCGTGCACAAGCGCACTAGTGTGCCTACCGTCCCTGTCCTACTCTTCCCATTTATTTGTACTCATTTATTATCTATATACTTATACCTGATAATACTTATATGTTATGTTCATACTTATACTTGTTTTCTCATACATGCTTGACAAACTAACTAACTAACTAAATATAAAATAAACTTGCACACACATGCCTTGATGCAGTTTAGCAATAGTTTTTAGCATAGCAATAGCAATAGTATTTAGATTTATTTACCACTAGTGTGGAACAATGTTTTTTCTTGCACAATGTGTTCTATATTATTACTTCCATCATCCATGGAATTACTGATAGACTAGACTTTATCCATCAATTCATTTTATTCAAAATGTTCAGGATTTACTGAGAGCAAGATTTCATTCCTACTAAAGGTGTTAAAGAAACGTAATCAGAATGAATGATTTATATGATCTGAAGTGAAACCAGCGTAACTCATTCCATCTCGTCAGACTCCAAAATAGCACTAGTACCACCAATAGACTTATATACCATTTTGCAGTACTTTACAACCCTCTCTAAGCGGTTTACAAAGTCAGCCTCTTGCCCCCAACAATCTGGGTCCTCATTTTATTGACCTCAGAAGGATGGAAGGCTGAGTCAAACCTTGAGCCAGTTCGGATCAAACTGTTGGCAGTGGAATGCAGAGTTTGCCTGCAATACTGCATTCTAACCACCGTGCCACCATGGCTCGCAGCATGCCATATCTTTATTTTATTTATTTGGTTGTTACATTTACAAGCCACCTATCTCGCTGTGAGGGCTGCTCTAGGCTAGAACAATAAAAAGGAAGCAATGAAAAGAGTGTAAAGAGAACAGAAGGAAGATAATAGCACATTAAAATAAGCAATGAAAGAGACCACAATGAAAAATACAACTACATGACTACAAAAAAAGAAAGATAGATGGGTAGAGTGCAGAGAACAAGGAGGGGTGGAGGTAGAGTCTGCCATCAATCCAACAGCCACCTCCAGCACATATATTTTTAGTGTATTATAACTAAACTGTGAATGAATTGATTTACTATAATAGATGCTAACACGGTCATATACTGGGTATACGGGTTTGAATATATTGCATTATACTTTTCTTAATGGGGCCATTTAAAAAACACACACACTTAAAATTTGCCAATTGGACAAAGGTGAATGCTGATTGGTAGCATTTTGGTTTGAGTGCTAATTCTGGAACTCTGCACTAGATGAGTTCCAGCTAAAATGTACATTGAACTATTTCTTTCTCACAAAAGTCTCTGAAATATTTATTATCCCTAATGTAGCTCCAGCTTTTACAAGGCCAGTAGTTTTCTTCTTGCTAAGGAAAAAAAAATTACTGCTGAATGTTTCACTTGTCTTTAAGGATCAGACCATAAGAAAGAGGACACCGATAACTAAGACCAGTGGTGGGATTCAGCCAGTTTGCACCACTTTGGGAGAACCGGTTGTTAAGTTTCTGAGCAATTTGGTGAACTGGTTGTTGGAAGAAATAATTAGATCAGAGAACTGGTTGTTAAATTATTGGAATCCCACCACTGATTAAGACCAGAAGAAGGTGTTGGTGCATCTTGATTATTGATTATTCTTAGCGTTTCACTTGCTGGAATGGAAAACAAGGAAGTGACTGGCACTGTTATTTTCTCATGCAAAGATGGATATTTTCCCATTTCAGAAACTGCTCTATTACTACCCAGTGTTCATTTCAGCACATTTCTCCTAGTTCAAATCAAAAGCATGAGAACGTTGCATAAATGTCTGTTGGGTATTCTCAATCATCCAGTTCATGGTTGTCCCAAAGGTGTTTTGTTTTTCCCCAAAAGCAACTGGACTGGTTTTTTTTTCCTCTTTTGAAATGTTTTGCTTCTCCTTCAAGAAGCTTCTTTAGTTCTGAATCAGTTCAATCAGAAGTGAAGAAGCTTCTTGGATGTGAAGCGAAATGTCTTCCAGGGAAACACAAGAAAGTCCAGTTGCCTTTTATTTTTATTTTTTTAAATTATTTTTTAAATATACATCCATATTGTATGTGAACAGAATTGGTTCTGGGTATAGTTCATATTAATCCAATTCACAATAGCAATGTTAGTAATCTCTATCACATTTATCAGATTTAAGTAATCCTCATTATATCGTTTAAATATACATAAACAAAATAATGCCTGACTCCTCATCTTTGTCTCTATCTTCATTTATATCTTTCTTGCTCAATCTAAACATTTCTCTATTATATAAGAACAAAATTAATTCTGGGTATCATTCATATTGGTCCAATCCACGCTAACAATGTTGGTAATCTCTATCACATTTATCAAATTTAAGTCAGTTTCATTGTATTATTTAAACATACATAAAAATGCCTAACATCTGTAAAACTTCTATTATTTTTATTCATTCTATAAAAAAATATGTTCTAATATTTCCCCTTTCTGATTTTATTTCTGCCTCCTTTAGCTTACAATCAGGGTGCTTTCATATTTAAAAGGCAATTCTTTCTATCCACCATCTTTTGTAAAAGCACCTTTGGGATAGCTTTATGTGAATTTTTCTGATCTTTGGAAAACTTTAGTTATAAATCCCAAATCAATCCTGAAAGAAGGTGAGGCATTACAAACTAGATAACTAACTTCTGATATATAATAGATAGATATAGATAGATATAGATATAGATATATGTTACATAATAGAATCAATTTCTGATATATATGTTATTACATAATAGAAATCATAATGCTCTCTCTATGTATGCGTGCGCGCCTAGGTGTGTGTGTAAAAGTTTTACCGAAAAACTTTTCTGTGCATCAAGATATTTCTCCCCTGACTATTGGGAACACAGTTAATCTGACCAAAACATTCGGATGAAAAAAAGACATAAGTTATAATAATATTTGCATGGAGTTCAAATTCAAGAATTTAAATTTATTTATTGACTTGATCTATAAGGCTACCTAACTGAAATAACATATCCTGAAGGGTATAAAACAGAAAAACAAATAATAAACTAGAAAAAAAATAGCCTAAAACAAATATTTTATATAAATATAAAATACAGTACAAAATATGAAACAACATCCAAGTACAGTAATAAAATCAACTGACGTGCGTGAATTGCCTGATGAAATGCTCTAGCTGAGATTTTTAGAATATTATAAAAAATCCATGTAGACCTTCGATCCAAAGTCAGTTAGTCAACAGTTGTTCCCATGGAGAACAACTCATGATTTAAACTTGCCATAGATTTCAATTGGTGCAAAGCATTTCTAATCTAGTCCAGTAATCTGATCTAATCTAATCTAATCTAATCTAATCTAGTTATCCAAATGTTTGCCTGGGATACAGATTTTATTAGATCAAAGTTGATGACAGCCACAATAAAGTCAAGTCCCAGTTAAGGCATTGGGACTTGTTTTAGTTATCCCACTGAAAACAGAAACAGTTAACAAAAAGTCAAGAGAAAATGAAAATGAATTTTCATTTACTTTGTAATTGCAGATTTTGGTTCTGTCTTAAAATTATGTTCCTATTACATGGCTTTCTCTAACGATTTTCCTCTTGCTATTTTTTTGTTTTGTTTTCATGCAAACCTCTCCAGATCCAGAGAGCTCCTGAAAGCCATTCATGATTTCCTGGCGGTGATTTGGCAAGTGAGGTCAGATTTGCAAGTACAAAGCTTTTCAAGGACTCAAATCTAGGGCCCTATTTTCAAAGTCTTAATTAGCATTGCTGTCTAAAAAAAAATTAAAAATAAAGGGTTGGTTACCTTTCAGAATCTCCGGCAGCGTCTCCTGTTCTCTGCAGAAAGGAAGAAGAGAAAGAAGAAGAAAAAGAAGTGACGTTTAGCATTTGGGGTTTAAGATGACAACGTACAGGAAAGCAAAATTTCCCAATGCGATTAACACTGAAAACAGACAAACCACACTGAGTAGCAACTGAGTACTTCGAAGAGGATGATAACTTCATGCTTGCACCCACTTTAGATAACGGTGTTAAAAGTTAAAAAGCAGCTCTGAATTTTCAAGCGTAGAATGCATTGATGGGACAAAGATTAAAATTCTTTTTGTCCACAAAGCAATAGTTTGGAACTCTTTTAGAACCACACCATTTCTTCTTAAGTTTTAATCTAGTATACAGCAATAAAATGCAACAAGTTGAAAAACAAGTTCAGGATATCTGAATATATGCTCTCTTAAGAGTTTGTATTTATTTTTTAGCTGCAAGGTGGACCTTTGCTTAGGAAGAGAAATAGCTAGAAACAACTGCAGGAAGTCCTTGAATTATGATTAACACAATTGAGTCAAATCCAATCCAATCAAGTGTAGGTCAAAGACCAGAGACCAGAACAAATTTAAAAAAACAAACACTCAAGGAATCCAGTTAAAAATGCTAGAATAAAATAATGAATAACAGATCAAATCTATACTGATTTGATTTGAATTGAGTCCAGAATTTCTGTTGCTAAGCAAGACATTGGTTAATGGAGTTTAGCCCCATTTTACGACCTCCTGTGATGACCTGGGGCGTGGCACAAACACAGTCACATAAGTAAGAAGAGTCCCTTCAATACCTCCAACTTTGCCCCCAATGTCCAGGTTACCTTTGGCTGGAGAAAAAACTCTCCCAAGAACAGTCTTTAAATGGAGGAAATTCAGTCCGAAAACAAAGTACATACAAAATAATTCACACAAACCACACTGCAGCAATTAACTTGACAGAGCAGGATAAAGTTTTGCAGACTTGAAAGGCCAACAAAACACACACAGTTGGAAAAATGCCAAAAAACCAGATAAGCCTTGACAATAACAGATATCTCACAATTTGCTTCCAACAAGTTTGCTGTGCGTAACTTCCCTTTTTAAACATTGTGTTCCCAGCAGCAGCTAATGAAGGGAATCAGGGCCCTTTCCTCCCCTGTAAGCCATGCAACTCATGTTGCTCCCTTCTCCATTCCTCCCTGTGTGCCCCAGGATGAAGAATGGGTGGGCCTGGGTCTTCCTCTGAATTCCCTCTCCCTTGCTCTACCTCTCCCCTCCTCTGCCCAGCCAGACTTTGCCCTTCCCCAGTTTCTTCCATAGCCAATAGAGCCACACTCCCACTCCCTGTCAGCTGCTTGGCCTCCGCCTCAGAATCAGACTCCAACAGGGGCATGACACTTCATTTGCCACAGTTAAGCAAATCTCTGCAGGTTTAAGTTAGTAACATGGTTGTTGAAGGAATCTGTCTCTCCTGTTGACTTTGCTTGTCAGAAGGTTGTAAAAGGGGATCACATGACCATGGGACACTGCAACCATCATAAGTACGAGTCAGTTGCTAAGCGATTGAAGTTTGATCATGTGACCGTGAGGATGTTGCCTTGGTCATAAGTGTGAAAAAACAGTCATAAGACACTTTTTCAATGCCGCTGTAATATCACTAAATGAACTGTTGTAAGTTAACATTGAACTGTTTAACCAGGGCATACAAAACCTTTGCCAGACCAATTCTCAAATACAGCTCATCCGCCTGGAACCCGCACTGTATACCGGATATTAACACAATTGAGTGGGTTCAGAGGTATTTCTCGAGAAAAGTTCTCTACCCCTCCACTCACAACAGAATTCCCCATGGCTCCAGGCTTGAAATTCTGGGCCTAGATAATCTGGAACTGCGCCGCTTGTGTTCCATCTAAGCTTAGTACACAAAATTGTTACAATGTCTTACCTGTCAATGGCTTCTTCAGCTTCAACCACAGCAATACATGGGCAGACAACCAAGACAAACTCAAAGTAAACCGCTCCAAACTCGGTTGCAGAAAATACAACTTCAGCCACAGAATGGTCGGTCAATGCCTGAAATGCCCTACCCAACTCCGTCGTTACAGTCTCAGCCCCTCACCGCTTCAACCTCAAACTGTCTACTGTGGACCTCACCCCATTCCTAAGAGGTCCTTAAAGGGGGTGTGCATATTGTCCCTGTCTTGCTGTCCTCATTTACCTTTGTTCTTGTTTTCTTGATTTTCGTTGATTACAGCTCGGCTTTTAATACCATCATTCCGGATATACTGATTAAGAAGTTGCTGGAAATGGGTCTCTCTTCTCACATTGGCTGTTGGATAAGGGACTTTCTTACTAACAGACCCCAAACCATTAGGATTGGCAGCTATTTTTCCTCCACTCTTGCTCTCAGCACCGGCTCTCCGCAGGGCTTTGTACTGAGTCCCCTTTTGTATTCACTCTACACCTACGACTGCACTCCTTCTTATCCCACTAACTCTATAATAAAATTTGCAGACAACATCACATTGGTGGGACTCATATCAGGAGGAGACGAGATGGCCTGTAGGTCAGAGGTCCTCAGACTGGTCTCGTGGTGTAAGAGTCATAACCTCATCCTGAACATCAAAAAGACCAAAGAATTGATCATAGACTTCAGAAGATGCAAAGCAGAGCCTCTCCCACTATATATCAATGGAGATTGTGTGGAAAGAGTTCATAGTTTTAAATTTTTAGGAACTCATATTTCCAACAACCTTACTTGGTCGGTCCACACTATGGCCACTGCAAAGAAGGCCCAACAGTGCCTGCACTTTCTGAGGTTGCTGAAAAAGAGTGGTTTGGGTGAGAAGTTGCTGGTTACTTTTTATTGGTCTACCATCAAGAGCATTTTGGCATACTGTGTAATGGTGTGGTGTGCTGGAGGCTCTGCAGTGGATAAGAAGATGCTCCAGAGAGTTATAAACACAGCACAAAAAATCATTGGTTGCTCTCTTTCTTCTTTGGAAGAGATTGCAAAGACCAGACTCCTCTCTAGAGCACTAAAAATCTCCACAGACCGTTCTCATCCTGGACATTCATATTTCGATCTATTACCATCAGGGAGGCGTTATAGGTATCTTAAAACAAGGACTAATAGATTGAGAAACAGTTTCTTTTCCAAGGCAGTAATTGTCTTGAATCAAACAGTGCATTTGTGATTTAGTCCTATTATTATTATTATTATTTTAATTTTAAATAACTCTGTAGTGTGATTGTGATGTGGTGTTTGGGGCACTGTGCTGGAGGAGCTTTCAAATTTCATTGTATTCGTGGAATGCAATGACAATAAAGGTATTCTATTCTATTTATATTCATACTTATACTTGTTATCTTGTACATTTTTGACAAACAAATAAAAATAAGTTGAAAACTACCTGTAATCAGTCCACTTGTAATGGGAGAGAAAGATCAACATTACACCAGATTGCATGCCAAGATACTAGTAAATATAATTGAAGATAGAAACTTAATATTAAGACTGTTTTCCCCCCCTGGTTTTTTGTGTGGGGAGGGGGAGAAATTGCCTAGGTCTCTCTGGGCTCCAAATGTTGCCGCAGAATGTTCACAGCATGCCAATTACAGAGGAAAAAAGGATAATTTACCAAACGGAGATAATATATCCCATTGGCTTAAAAAAGTCACCCAATCATTTTAATAGGACCTGGTTGTGCATTTGAATATTTTTGTACATTTAGAGATGGATGGGCTTTCTGAGATATGCATGCTTGTTTCTATAAGCGCTAATGGGAGGCCATTTTATTTCCCTGATACGGATGAAATCGGGGACAGGAAAATTGGCCAGAGAAAAACATTTTGATAGGTAGTGAAGTTTTCTGTAGCTAATTAGAATGGAGACTTCTGAAGGAGGAGGCTTGCTTGCTCTTTGTGAGTTCAGCAGGCAGGAAAATGGCGTAGATTTGAAGCCAACCAAACAGCTTGAAGCCTCAGCCGATGTGCTCTGAGATTGTCAAACCATTTGTCTATTTGCAAACATTGCTAAAAAGTGTGAACGATTTGAGAGCCGCAGTCTGGAACTTTGGCACGTCAGTCATTAGCAAATGAAAACAGCGAGCGAAGGGAGACCTCGGCGCTTTCCTAGTGTAAACTTCACATTTGTTATCTCTGCTGAAATTCTCTCTTTCTCTCTTTCTCTCTTTCATTTGGGCATATGGCTGCTAAGTACGTTCGCAGAAGTGTTAGGCCCTACCTTGGAAATATCTTTTTTTTTTTGGTCTTAGGCCTAAAGGTATTTACTCATGTAGTAGACTCTATTAATTAATATATCTTTCCTAATACCTTCCCCTATTGGCATCGATGATTTATTACTTGTTATTATAACTTATGATTAATGATTTTAACTGTGATATACGACCTATCACTTCGTTGTTTGTATGTACACTGAGAGCTTATGCACCGGAGACAAATTCTTTCTGTGTCTAATCACACTTGACAAATAAAGAATCCTATCCTATCCTATGGCTCCAGACTCTTCTCTTCTCTTCTCTTCTCTTCTCTTCTCTTCTCTTCTCTTCT